CCCAAGTTGGCACCATCATTGCGCTCTTCTCTGGCGAGGCAGATCAGTCGCCGGCTTCTGGACGGCCGCTCACTGCGGCTGCTGGCTGCTCACGCTGGCTGCTGGCCACACACGGTAGCCCATGGCAACCCACTGCCACAGCCACAGGGACTGCAGCCCACGCCGTCGCCGGCGACTCATGGCAGCCCAGCTCCAGGTTGAGCTGTTGTTCAGCATCTTAGCTGTGGAGGGCAGTGTCACTGGCCTTCATATGTGGGATCCGAACCGGGGCCCTCTGGCATCCCAAGCGAGTTCTTAACCATCGCGCCACTCGGCCAGCCCTAGCCTTTGCCTTCTTGATATCACACTTAGAGCGAATTTCACTAAGTAACGCTGTTCTTCCCGTTGATGAGGTTCTATAATACTAATATAATTTGGATCCATTGTATGTTAAATATACATTTGTGATTGGCTTGGAAATTTAATCTTTTTAAAAATCATATAGTTTATATAAAAGTGAAGAAGGCTAGGAAAAGAGCTGTAATGAAGGCCATGAACTTCACATCATAGCAAATTGTAGGGATACTTTTAGTTTCAGGATGTGTTACATCAGTAAGGATACAAACTTACTTCAATTTTATGACAAGTTGCCCAAGGGAGCAGAAGACTGAGTTCCAAACAATTAAATTAGCATACAAACTTCTGGCTTATAGCATTGTAAACTGTGTACTGCATGTAACTGAGCTCCATCTTAACGCATCTGAACCATCAGGTAGCTTTCATTTAAGGAGGCCAAATTAAGTGCATGGGCTTCCAGACAGTGTTATCTCTCCCCTTTTAAAATTAACTCTGGGGGCGGCCAGTTAGCTCAGTTGGTTAGAGAACAGTGCTCATAACATCAAGGTTGCTGGTTTGATCCCCACATGGGCCACTGAGATGCACCCTCCACAACTAAATAGAAACAACTACTTGACTTGGAGCTGATGGGTCCTGGAAAAACAAACTGTTCCCCAATTAAAATAACAACAACAACAACAATTAACTCTGGATGTGGATTAGGGTTTCTGGAAGACTAGTCTTTATATAATGAGAGCTTTCCTGTATTACTAATGTAGCTTCCAGGGTGGCTTCCTACTCAAAAAAATTACTACTAATAAAGATCTACAGCGGGTGCCAAAAAATGTATACACATTTTAAGAAAGGATAAAACTGTATTGAAATTATAATACTCAATATATACTGATAACAAAAGATGAATGCAAGTCATGTGTATACATTTTTTTGGCACCCCCGGTATGTAGTGATGCTTGTATGTATCCTTGTACACATCGATGAAACTGAAATTCTTTGTGGAGAACACATCTGGTTTAAAAAAAGATTAACTATAGGAATATTAAATGGCAAGCAAGGATCCCAGTAACCAGGTCCTGGAGTGCAGCCAACCCCCACGCAATGAAATGAGAATTTCTAAAAGCAGGCTTGCCTGGGCTGGACCTGTGCAGATGATGGAGGGGAACAGGATGCTCTGGCAGCTGCTGTCTAGTGAACTGAGACGGGGCATTCACAAGGTGAGCAGACAGATGCCATAATGACCCACTAAAGAATAACTGCATGCAATACAACATAGCTGGGAAATGTGGGGAAACAATGGCAGCAGATGGACAAAACCTGGCTCACAGCAAGGAGGGAGAGGCAGCTCATTTATAGCAAAAAGCCCCACATGGCTCAGGGAGGGGCAGGAATCCAGACCATACCAAACCTGTAAATAGCAACAGGCCATGTAAGCAGCAGTCATCCTTTTCAAATATCTATCGACTGCTTACTGTGCATATACACTTGGCCAGGTGCTATGTGACCCAGGGATGAAGATAGGCTTACTGACTTCAAGGAGTTTAGAGTCTAATGGACATGCAGTGGGTTTCGGTTTGTATGACACCATTTGGGAATTATGTCGTGGTACTGACATCACTGACATTTTAACATCCTTCAAAATCTGGTTATTCTTTTCTTAGATCTTGGATGGCATAACTTCAAACCCAAAGGAGATGCAGTTTTAGAGGACTAGAAGGCTGCAAGCAAAATTTGATGAATCACTTCTCCAGCAACTTTGCTCCAAGATTGTCCAATAGCTAAGACTACAGAATGAGATGATTGTTTTTCAGTCTATAACTACACAGCATAGGGTCACCTCCCTGTGAATACACTGTGGGGAGGATGACCAGCCATATCTTATTTTAGTTTTATCCAAAAAAGGTATCTGTGGGAGGCATTGTAGTTTCCAAATACAAAAGGCAATCTCATTCTGTGTGTGTACGTATGTGTACACACACACGCGCGTTCTGGATTATGTCTTGCGTTCTTTGGTTTCTGAGTAAACATTCTTCATTGTCATAATAATCATCGTCACCACTGGGTTGGCAACTAGAAACTAAACGAATAAAATCTCTTCCTGGCAGTTGAGTACTTTTAATAACCTGAACACAGATGATTCATTTTGTAAACAGATGATAAAACTTATCATATCGATAAATACAGTATAGTACTGTAAATGTATATTTTCTTCCTTATGATTTCCTTAATAGCATTTTTTCTCTAGATTACTTTATTGTAAGAATACAACATATAATACATATACAAAATATGTGTTAATCAACTATTTATGTTATCAGTAAGGCTTCTGTCCAGCAATAGGCTATTAGTAGTTAAGCTTTGGAGGACTCAAAAGTTATATGCAGATTTTCGAAAGCACGGGAGTCAGAGCCCTTAATCCCCATGTTGTTCAAAGGTAAACTATATATATGTATATATATGTATATGGTTCATATCTCTGTATCTACCTACCTACCTAGCTTTCTTTATAGCTATCTATGTCTACATCTGTGACTGTTATTACAACTATATCTACATCCTTTTTAGAATGCCCTGATTTATCCAGGATTTGGGTGGGGTAGGGAAGCAGAGTGTTGAAGAGAAATTATAAAAATATTAGTTGGTTTCATTTCCTTTATTATAAGATTGGGAAATAGAAACTTTAAGTAGAAATGCTTATATTTAAATAATATAGCTTTAATATTTAATGGGAGCTAGTAGATTCTGCAAAGAGCTTTAAAGATAAGAACACCATACACTGGTTAATGAGCATGACTTTTATTGATGACAATAATACTAACTTGCTAATGCACAATGGAGAAGGGAAATTTACAAAGGAAGATTTTCCTATGCAAAAACAGGAGATTGATATTCCTGGCTGTGGGGCGTAAATTCAGAAATCAGTCCATTATTTCATAACTTTTAAGATGTGACATATGCCTCCTGAAAGATTTTGTAATTTATTTTCGTCTTTAGAAAAAGGTATAGAATAACATTTTTGAAAAATAATTTTAAAATATTTTAAATAAATGCTATTCTATACCTTTTTTGGAGGGCAGTCTTAGTATCATAACACAAAATCAGCATAGGTGTTCAATGATTAAAGTATCACAACTTTCCTAAAAATAGCAATTGTATTTAATCACTCATTAAAAAAGTTCCTTTTACCTCTTCTTGCGCCAACCACTTACAGATCACCTACTTGTTTTAGGCATGATGCCAAACACCGAAAAGAAAGAAACTCTTTGGAGAGTCACTGTCTATAGGAGAGATCAGAAAGTAAACAAATGAAATACGCTATGTGTTGTAGATTAAGGAGTAAGCTGTATAGGAAAGAAACATTAAATCAGTCTAGAGCAGGGTATGCCAATCTTGACACTATGGATATATTGGGGCAGGTACTTCTTTGTTGATGGTGGTGGGAGGTGTGGGTGGGTGGGTGTGTAGGAAGAGTTCTTTGCATTGTAGGGTGTTTAGTGGCATCTGTGGCTTCTACCCACTAGTTGCCAGTAGCACTCTTCTCAAGTCATGAACATCAAAAATGTCTCCAGACATTGCCAATTATCTTCTGAGGGACAAAACAACCTGCAGCTGAGAACCATGGCTCTCTAGAGAATCCTACGTATTTTTAGAGTAAGAAAGATTTCTATAGATTTATTTTAAAATTATCATTATGTTTTACTTTACCTTTTTTTTTTTCATTCAGCTGATATACATTTTTAAAAGAAGTACTAGAAACTAGCCTAGGGAGGATATAATGAAGATTTTCCTTTTTAAAATAGAAGATAAAAGATATCAGGGTTTCTGTGTGAGACTCACTTACCTGAATAGTTTCTATATTCTCATGATTTAAAAAATGGGATAATCTATTATAGAAAGAATATGATATAAATTATAAACTCTGTGAGACAAGGATCAAAATGTATTTTAAAAACCTTTATTGAGGAATGATTTACATAACATGAAGCTCACCCATTTTAGGTATATAGTTACATGAGTTTAAGTGAATTTATACAGCTGTGCAGCCATCACCCTAATCCAGTTTTTAAACATTTCCATTAACCCAAAGGTTCCCTTCTGAATATTTGCAGTCAGTATCTGCTTCCACCACCCAGTCCCATGTAACCATTGATCTATCTGGTACTATAGGTTTTCCTCTTCTAGATATTATGTATAAATGGAATCAAGTAATATATAGTCATTTCTCTCTGGCTTTTTAAAATTAGCACAATGTTGTGGAGGTTTCACGTTGCATGTTATCAGTAGTTGGTCCCTTTTAATTGCTCAATAGTATTACATTTCACACATATTTTGTTCGTCATTTAAAAGTTGATATCAGTTTGGATGGTTTGTATAATAGTTCCTAGTTATTATGAATACACTAATATGAACAATCTTTAACTTTTTAATAAGTTGCTAATCTGTTTTGCGAAGAGACGGTCTCCTATTTTGTATTCTCACCAATAATGTATGCAGTTTCCAGTTTCTTCACTTTCTTGCCCATACTTGGTGTCAGTCTAAGTTAGCCATTTCAGTGATTTTGTAAGGCTATCTCATTGTGTTTTTAATTTGTATTTTCTTTTTTTTAAAGTATAATTTCAATTTTATTTTTTCCCAGAGAATATTTCTTCAGTCCTTAAGGACTTAGCTCCTTACATGGACTTTGGCAGAGGTCGTTGGGCAGCACCCACAAGTCTAAATCGGGGTGGGGATATTGGGTCCTTCTGGGTTTCACCGAAACGATTCTTGACTACTGTGCTGTGAATGGCACAACTCACATAGTCATGTAGTTTCACATACAGCTTGGAAAGCGCATAGGTGTCGAAGACACTTGCTTCAGAAATATCCGTAATGGCTGCGGCCTCTGCTATGTTTTGAATGATGAATTTCTTAGTGGCCTTGTCCTTGGGCGCACATTGGGCACAGTTGGTGTAGCAAATGGGCTGCATTTGGCCGTGTCCCTTTTTGGCACAACCATTGTTCCTTCTTTCTTTGGTCATTTTGGAAGTGAGAATCCGAGAGAGCTAATTTGAATTTTCTTAATGACTAATAATTTTGAGCCTTTTTTCATGTGCTTATTTTCATCTGTGTGTATATCTTTAGAGAAATATCTTAACAAATCTTTTGTGATTTCAATCTTATTATTGAGTTGAAAGGGTAATTTCTTTATATGTTCTGCATAAAAGATGTTTTTGAGATACATATTTTGTAAATATTCTCTCCCCACCTGTGGCCTCTATTAATTTTCTAAAAGTGTCTTTTGAAAAGCAAAATTTTTATATTTGATGAAGTGCAATGATAAATTGTTTTCTATTCTAAGTGGTGCTTTCAGTGTCACATCTAAAAAAAGTATTTGCTTAACCTAAGTCACACAATGATTTTTCACCTAGGAATTTTATAGTTTTAACTCAGTCTTGTATTTAGGGCTAATGTCTTTTTTAACCTACTGGATTTGTGTATGATGTGCTCCCATGCGTAATGCACACCCACGTTTTTGGCCCAAACTTTCAAGGAAAAAAATCTTTTGTTTTAATTTTTTAATTCAAATTTTTATTTGTTTACATTTAGGTGTTTGTATTTTGTATTATAAAGAAATTTTAGCATTTATTTTTTAACATATTATGGTACAAAAAAATTTATGTAACAAATAATTACAAAACACAAGAACAGATATAAGGTACAAGAAATTTTATGTACTGGTAATAAATTTATGAATTGACACATCATAGAAGGCCAAGAACTCTTCATCGTTGCAAGTTCATCGAAAGTTCAACAAAATCAATTATTGTATTCCAGGGCATTATTTTGCATGTGGATATTGTTATTGATTTCTAAAGTTACACTTTTAACTCATAAGCATAAATAAAAGAATTAAAAACATTTATATAGATATGGAATTAGTACTACCCATGTATAATGCGCATCCTTACTTTTCCCTTACAAATTTAGGCCAAAAAGTGCACATTATACATGGCAAAATATGGTAATTTTGTATATGGTAAGAGGTAAGGGTCAGGCTGAGTTTAAAAATATATGAATATCCAGGCCAGCTGAGTGGTGCATTGGTTAAGAGCTGGCTTGGGATGCCAGCTCTGAGCAGCAGGGCCCCGGTTCGGATCCCACATGAGGGCCAGTGATGCTGCCCTCTACAGCTAAGATAGTGAACAACAGCTGGACCTGGAGCTAGGCTGCTGTGAGTCACTGGTGATGGCGTAGTCTGAAGTGAATCTGAAGTGAATCTGCAGTGAGGCTGCAGTGGGTTGCCGTAAAGCTACAGTGAGTGGCTGGCAGCCAGCGTGAATAGTGCTGGCGTGAGCTGCCAAGAGCCACCATGAGCGGCCGTCCAGTCGCCGGTGACCGATCTGCCTCACCCAGGAAGAGCGCAATGATAATACCAACATGGGCCAGTGAAGCGACATCCTCCACAACTAGACTGAAGAACAAAAGGACAGAAACTTCTTGGTTCCCCTTCCCCGATTCCCCAATGCTGTTCCCCTCCCCCAATTTCCCAATAAAATCTAATACATATATGAATATCCAATTGATATTGATCCAGTATCAATAGATGATGTGAATAGCAAATATAATTTTTAGAAAAAAACTATTCTTTCTCCTTTGGATTTCACTATCTCTTATGCTGAAAATTAATTGACCATTTGTGTTTTGATCTATTTCTGAACTATTTGTTTTTGTCCATATATCTGTATATCTGTATGTCTAGCCTTACCCCTATACCACATTGTCTTGATTACTGTAGCTTTGCAATAAGTTTTGAAATCAGCTAGTTTAAATTCTAACAAGCTCACTCTTCATTTGTTTTTCAAAAATGCTTTCAATATTTTAGGTTGTTATTTTTATATAAAATTTATATCAATTTATCAATTTCTACAAAAATATTTGTTGAGATTTTGATAAGAATTATGTTAAATCTAAAGATCAGCTTGAGGCAGAACTGTCATCTTAACAAGTTGAATCTTTCAAAACATAAATATGGTATATCTTTCCATTTATTTAGATATCCTTTAAGTCTTGCATTTCTTTTGTTAGATTTATTCCTAAATATTTTATTATTGCTGGTGCTTTGTGAATGGAATTGTTTCCTTAATTTAGCTTTTTAAAAAAATAAAAAGATTTTTATTGGGGAATTGGGGAGGGGAACAGTGTTGGGGAATTGGGGAAGGAGAATATTGTATTTTTCCAGGACCCATCAGCTCGAAGTCAAGTTGTTGTCCTTCAATCTTAGTTATGGAGGGCGCAAGCTCAGCTCTAAGTCCAGTCACTGCTTTCAATCTAGTTGTAGGGGTGGGGGGGCATAGTCCACCATCCCATGTGGGAGTCGTGTTGTTGCACACTGAGCCATCTGGCAGTCTGTCAGCAGCTCTTGGCTGCTCAGTTCAAGGTTCTGTGTTCAGTCTTAGTTGGGGGGAGGGGGGAGGCGCAGTCCACCATCCCATACATGTGTTGAACTGGCAACCTTGCTGCTAAGAGCACATGCTCTCACCAGCCCAGCAGCAGCTCAGCTCAGGTGCAGCTCACTGGCCCATGTGGGAATCAAACCAGCGACCCTGTTGCTCAGAGCTTGCTCTCTTCACCAGCTGAGCCACTCGGCTGGCCCTTAATTTAGTTTTTTAATTGACTGGTGCTAGTATATAAAAATGCCCTAAAATGATTTCTGTATATCGACCTTATAATTTGTAACATAAGTAAAATTATGTATTAATTCTAGATTTTCTGAAGATTCCTTAGGATTTCTACATCCAAGATGATGTCTGTGTATAAAAACAGTTTTATTTCTTGCTTTATGATTTGTATGCCTTAAATTTATTTTTCTTGTCCTATTCTACAGTGTTGAATAGAAGTGGTGAGAGTAGACATCCTTGCCTTGTTCTTGATCTTAGGGGGATAGCTTCAGTCTTTTACCATTAACTATGGTGTTAATTGTAAGTCTTTTTTAATAAATGTTATTTATCAAGTTGAGAGAGTTCCCTTTTATTCCTAACTGTGTGAGAATTTTTATCATTAATATGTGCTTTACTCATCAAATAACTTTTCTACATCTGTTGAGATTATTTTCTATTTATTCTTGAGTCCATTTTGGTAATTTGTGTCTTTCTAAGAATCTTTCATTTATCCCAGCCTCAAGTTAATACCGATTTAATTTGAATAAAATATAGCAACTTTGCATTAGTACTGCTTCATATCCTTTCCCCTTCTTAGTGCTATTGTCACATATGTTATATTAATATAAGTTATAAACATAACAATATAATATAATTATTGTTATAAAAACCTTATGTTTTATAAGGAAATTACAAGAAGAAAAGAGAAGAAAAATATATACTATCTTCAGGTAGTTTTCTGCATGCTGAAACAATTTTAGAAGACAAATTTGTCCAGTTTTATGGTTTTGTTTTTTTTTGTTGTTGTTTGTTTGTTTTCTTGTTAAGGGAAATCACCTGACCTCTTCATGTTGCCATTACTAGAAGATCAAATCTATTTTTGTAACAGATTTGTTACAGAATAGCATTCAATAAATATGTGTTTAGCATATCTTATTGAAAGGCAGACTCTGTGCTGAAGAGTCTTCAGAGAGTGATAAACTGTATCTCAGGATGCCAGGTTATTTTGAAAGCCCATACATATTTGTGTTCCTGATGTTTGGGTTTTTGGGTTCCCCAAGATAGAAATCTAGAGGAAACCTCAGAAAAGTTTCCTGATAGACTTTATTAAGCTTATGCTGGAAAACAAGGTAGATAGCACAGAGGAAAGGAAAGTCCTCTGAACTGGCTTTGGGGCTATCTCTGCATGGCTGCTTTTATAAGTGGGGACAAAGCAGGCTTGCGGAAAGGGTGGGCTTTTTGAAAGTACAGTTTTCTTTACCGGCTACGTTGCCTGGTAACCATGTTGAGGCACGCTGTGGGGCAAGATGGCGGATTGCTTATTATCACCACTCCAGGACGGCCGAATAGTAGACAAACCTTAATCAACTGCATGCAGTGGTTTCAAAATCTGTATGGGAGTAAACAGTTAGAAGGGAGATAAAATCAGCTACTTCTGCATTTTTGTGTAGGGAGTGCTAGGGCGGTCCTTTGCCCCAGGTCAAAGTCCATATGCTGTCTCACTTGTTGAATGAAAAAGTGATCTAAAGCACCAGCCAACCTTTTCTTTGCTTCTATAAGAGAGAGACATTGGAGAGTACTAATCTAAAAATTCTTTTGAAGCTTTGTTTTGATAATAAATGTATTGATTTACTCGAGCCATTGTATTAGATTCTGCTTAGATAATAAAAATCCCTTCTTCTACATCTTAAGAAGCCTTTTTCAGAGGTTCAAAACCACTTGTTTTTCATTTGAAACCTTTTTTTAAAGTGGAGAGACTACAATGTAGGTAACAACCTTTCCCTGAAATGGTTCCCACCTCCTTCTAATTCAGATTTCTGCATGGACTTATTGGAAGGTTTGGTGATGTTCAGAGAATGAATGAACAGAACGGTGCTGTGTTTAATTACCAAATGTTTCCATTTAAGGATTTAAAAATTCTAGCTCTGAAGAAAGTCATCTTGATCTAGGCATTTCTGAACTATTTGAGGCTTATTATTCCCTTTTGAAGATTCATTTCATCTGAAACTATACATCAGAGGTCTCACAGTGACTTGAATCAGCACACAAACATGTTTTATTTGGTCTAAATAGTGCTCTAACAGAATCTCTTTTTTCACTTTAAAAATCAGAGCCTTTATGTAGCAATACAGATTTTCGAATTTGAAGATCTCACAGCACAGCCTTATACCCCCTCAGGCAACAATCAGCCTCACTCTCTTCAGAAGGTACCTGAGCTCTGCTCTCCACATTGCTTCAGTCTTGGCCTAGTCAGCCTCATTCCCTTTGCATATGACCACCCTGACCCTGTAGACATTTGATTTCATGTTTTTTGAGATCGTGGCCTCAAAAGCCAGAGTGCTACAGGAGGACATGCTGGTAATCAGTGCAGGATTAAGCTG